AACTCAAAACATTCGAGAGTTTGGAAAAATATTGAAAATTGTCGATTTGACAGAGGGGCATGTGATTTGAAATCATGTTAGTTCGAAAAGAGGTATTTATATGAAAGTTAAGCCAATTCTAATAATAAAAAACAAAAAATTCCCGAATAATAAACAAAGAAAGATTAAAATTGTCAGATCAAGCTGAAATTTTGCCAGACGTTCTAGAATCTAGAATAAGAACGCCTTTCAAATGTCAGCTCGACCCGATAAGATTTTAAAAATTTACATTTTCATACAGGAAAGGATTGTCTGCTGGTCTAGAGGGAACTAAATAATTTTTTTTTTCAAAAAAAAAAGCAAAAAATGAAGTTGGTCGAAAATTTGTCATATTCTAGATTATCATTTGTAATCCGACCGTCGTGAAACTTAATTTTCTGCAAAAAAAATGATCTAGACAAAATTTCACGAAGATTGATGCATAAATGATAGCTCAAATTTCACATTTCTACAAAAATCACAAAAAATGACGTTTGTCGAAAAATTGTCATATTTTTGTTTTTAGTCCCCCATTGGGACTTAAGTGGGACTTAATTGGAACTTAAGGGGGACTTAATTGGGACTTGAGTGGGACTTAAGTGGGACCAAAAGTCCGAATTAAGTCCCACTTAAGTCCCAATTAAGTCCCACTTTCGTAGCCGTTCCGTCTACAATATAGAAAAATATCGACATTTCAATGAGCAATTCCGGCGAAATTTTGTACTACACCCGAAGAGTTATCAAGCGGGATTCTTAGATTCAACCTTAATTCACCGAACTCAACCGAATCCTGAAAACTTTTTCGTGAATAATTTGAAAAACTATTTGATTGGCAAATCTACCAATAATTAAAATAACATAAATGAAAATAAAACGCAATCATTCTTATATTTTCCGAATATATTTTTCTTAATTATTAATTATAACCAAATTTGGAACCGTAACGTATCTGAATACAATCATAAATGCAAGTTATTAATTAGTGTTGAAAAAACATGTAAAAATATTGGATAGAGTTTTAGTAGCTTTATCGACTATAATAACATAATACAATTATCACTGGAGATAAATTAACGTTCGTGCCAAGGATGCCCAATGCCTATCAAAAATTGCGTATTATGCTTTTCGGTTCTATTTCAGCGGACGATAGTAACTGGCTACAATTTGAATCTTTGCACGAAAATGTCACACCACCAACAGAATATTCAGTGAAGCAACCCCATCCATATGTAATAAAGAAGTGACCTGTTTGCAAACAATGGCAATTGGGGCCTTTTCCAATGGCATAAGGAGGACAAGGTCGACCCACGTACGCATATGGTTCACATTTGCCTGTTTCTCTCACCAGATGATGTTTATAATAAGTTGGGCATGTACAAAATGGAGACACATTTACACCATCTTCACACGGATGATTGCAAAATCTTAGACCAGGGTCATAAACATGATCTTTATTTTCGCATTTACAATTCGGATGATGGCCTGAATGTGTGTTTAAAAAATAAAAACAGTTTTAATCAAATTTTAACATTACGATAGGATATTGTATATATTTTGTATAACAAAACAAGGCAAAAGCACCTATAGCATCTTTTGGACAATCGTAACATCGTTTCCATTTTAAGTCAAAGCCAGCTTTTTCGCCGGTGCATGTGCAGTTTGGATATATTCCTGTTGCATCATCACAATCAACACAACGGTTCAAATATCTCCGGAAATACAAAGGATATTTACAGGTGCAGTTTGGATAAATTCCAGTACTTCATAGATAGAGATAAGAGAAAAGATTCAAATTTACTCATATTTTAGTTTACTTTACAACATTTGAATTTACCTCTGTTCTGGACATATACGGCATTCGTCGGCTTTTTCATCATATACAGCATCTCCGTGACACGTACAGTTTGGGAATGTTCCTTCACCATTCCAAGCGCAAATTTTACATTTTTCACCGTTGAATACTTCACCTGTGGGACACTCACAGTTTGGATAGTCTCCATTGAGCTTATATGGACAATTCAAACAGCCTGCTTTCTGCCAACCATAAAACCCACCGTAATAAGAGTCTTCCGATTGATAGTAATCTAAAATGACATTTCATTTTCTTAGTATTCGTTGTGTGTTGATTTCCGTTCAATCGTATGTATTTAACTGTACTGACCATTGCCATTTTCACACGTGCAATCCGGAAACTTTCCGTATGATCCAGAATGACATACTTTGAATTCATTATCCAATTCATCAAATGTTGCATTTACAATTGTATCAGTCTTACAATTCGGATAAATGCTGTCATACGTACTTTTGTCGGGGCATCGAGAGCACTTGAATAAATCTCAAATTCGCCAACGAAAAAGCATCGAATTAGAAAAAAAAATCATTTTTCATAATGAAACTAAAACGAAAATCATTTTCATGCTGATTTCTGTACCTTTGTTGAAACCCAAAAATTCATCGTTACATTTGCAATCAGGAAAATATCCAATACTATCTTCTGGACAAACCAGATTGCATTCATTAAGATAAACATTGTACTCTTGATTGTTTCCAGTACATTTACAATTTGGATAAACCGAGTCGGCCGTTGAATTTTTTGGGCACTTTGGATTTGGACAGGAATTCGTTAACTTGTCGTAATTTGCACCATATCTACATTTGCATTTGGGATAAACACCTTCGCTTATCGATGGACACATCAATACACACGATATTCCATTATAGCCATAATTTTCACCATCACAATCACATTTTGGATAATATCCCGCTTTATTATTCGAACATCTTGCTTGGGAACGTACAAAATCAACGCAAATCAATAAAATAAACAAGGAAAGAGTTATCTCTTGAAAAATTATCATTATATTGTAATAAAATTTTCGACAATTTTTTTTATTTGCAATGATTTTTTATGAAGAACGTTCTAATCGTAGGATAATTCCACTTCAACTGCAAAATATCTCTTTTTTAAAGCTTGCAAGCGTACGTTTGAAACCAAAGTATGTAAGAGTAACTGTGATGTATACAAACTGGTTTCTATCAATTTGAGAAGAGACGCAAGAAATCAGGTAAAAGAACATAATGTGTAGAAATAATGTTCCAGTCTGCTAAAATTGTACCTAAACTTGATCAGCTTTGCATCGTCTCAATTTGCATTTGCACTATCGCCGTTAACTAAATTATGTCCGTTTGGTCGGCAAAAAGGAAAAAAGATGATAACAACGTATCAAACGTATACTTCAAAAGCGAACTAATTATAAAATTGTTGTAAACAATGCAAACATATTTTTGCACTTGGAACAATAGGAAAAAACAAAAATTTGAACAATTATCACAATTGAACAGAGGTGACCGATATCACCGTTACATACTTAATTTTAAGATCTGTTGTTACCTACCCATCATTCATAAAACTCCTTTTTTGCTTTAAAATAAAAAATAATACGCTTAAAATGTTTAATTTTTTATTCTTTATTTCTTAAAACACAATTATATTCCAAAAGGTTTACTTAGACTTCCTTAGACAGAACAATTCTTTTTTACTATAATTTCGTATGTTCACATCGAGTTTTGTACTCATTTTGTTGTGGAACAATATTCTTTTGTCTAAATTATATGAGTCCGTGCGAATTTTCCCGTCGATTTTGTTTTTTATTTGATCAATTTTCAAATAGAGTATAAAAGAAATTTTGCCATTAAATTTCAAAGTAAAAAGAGTTCAATTTTTGATTGTGATAAAAAAAAAGTTAAAGATATATTTGAATCAAAATGGGTGCGCATGTTGATGCTTGCTATTCATTTTTTTTTTGTTGTTCCATTAAAATTAACCATCACCAACGAAATCTTAGACGGGTCCCATGGTGGACCATTTAACTATTTGCAATATTTTAACAAAAATGAAAACTACAAATAAAATATGATTTATGTGCGTGATTTCAAGCTAAGAGAAACAAAACAAAAAGAATTTTTCATTCGCAAAACAGAAGGAAAGAAAAGTAGGGAGAAAAGATTCGTTTCTAGTAGAATGTGTCAATGGTTACATAAAAACGGATATTAAAACCGAAGAATATTTATAAATTGCTATTCGAAACTGAATTCATCGAATAAACTCTCTTTCTGTGTTTTTTGTTTGTTTTTAATCTGTTTCGTAAGTTAGATTTAACGAGATAATAGAGTATAAAATGAACAACATGCGTGTATGAATAATAAAGAGAGTAAAACTTATATATGTAATTAGCTTTTATACTAACTACGTGTACGTATCATGACGTAAAACATCAATTAATTTAATCATAAACATTAATATTGCATTTCTTTCACAGCAGAGAATATGTGTGTGTGTGCGTGTGCTTTGTCGTGATCATCATCTTTACCGCGAGACAGACGAAGTCATGAATCTCATTGCCGAATGGATCTTGTATCGTTTGACGATAAATTTTTTTTAAATAGAACGTTTGTTTTTCAAACAAACCAATAAACATTCGATACGAAGATGCCTGATGCACGACTGCTAGTGACACTTTTTCGTGCATGCTGTTTTTTTTTTCGTATTGTTTTTTCTTCTTCTTTTGTTACTCTGTAAAATAATTCGCTTAGCTAACGATCTAAAACTTATATTTACTTGTAATAGTATTCAGTATTTGTTTTCTCGAAAAGTGTTGTTGTTGTTTTCTTCGACTAATTCGTGCATTTTCTATTTCATCCACATTCATTCAATCAAACCGTTATCTATCAAAAAAAAAATTCACGAAAACAGTAGTCCATCAATTTTAAACGAAATTCTTATAAATTAAGAAATCTCAACTTAAAGTCTACCACCATAAACTTGCTGTGTACTGCCGTTCGATTTATCGACAAATGTTTTGTATATATACGTTTTTCGTTCATCTAAAAAATATCCTGAATTCAAATATGGCTTTACTTAATCGACAAAAAAAAGAAAGTAGGCGATAAAATTTAATTGTACCTTATTTATGATGCGCTAAATATTTCCTATCTCATTTTTGTATTTTCTCGATTTTTTGTTAGTGTTTTTTTTTTATCTTTTTAATCATTGATCGAAATGAGATTTATGTTCGTAAAAAAAGAACAAAAAAGTCAAAATCGCACTGAAAATTTTCTTTAGAATTTGTATCATGGATTAATTTAGAATTTAGTTATTTGTTGTCGCCATCCATTTATTCGGACTGATAGATTTGTTTTTTTTTTTAAGAAAACTCATTTTGTTTTGTCATTTCAGGTACACTTAAATATCAATCATGCAAAAAAAATTCTATCATTAGCTTAACTAATTTCTATAAAATACGATATACTTGTTAAAAAAAACAGTTTCTGTATTTCGTTTGTTCAATATTATCGTGCAATTATTATGGCAATTGGAATTGTTCAATTAGCTTTGTGCTTGTCTGTTTTGACTGTTGTTCATCGATTTCAGCTATAAAGAAAATTAAATAGTCATTTGTAACTGGTTAAGAAAACGAGCAAAAATATAATATGACTATCGATTGAACATTCATTTTGTAAAATATCTCGCCACAAATCTATTCAATTGCTTGAAATTAAATGTATATGCGCTTTTGTCACTTGTGTTCATATTGGGGGTTATGTTTTGGAGGCACTTATTTCTTTTCACATTCTTCTTAGTCTTGAATATGTTTTTATATTTGAAAAAAAAAAAGAAAAAAAATAGTTCAATGTTTTTGTGTTGCGGCAAATTGAGCAAGAATTCCAGATGTGCCATTGAAAGTTTTTTCTCTTTGAGATCTTTTTTAAAACCTAGAACCTTATTGTTCTCTATGCATTTGCATTCGATAGTTGTCCTAAATACTTGGGATTTATTATGCAAATTAAAATGCGCTCATTCAATCATTAGCTGGCAAGATAAAACTGTGTTATCAAATTCTAGTAAAATATATGCATATGTATTTTTTTTATTCTGTTTTAAAAACGCTAAGCATGATTCTTTAAAAGAAAATCGTATAAAATGGACTAAGATAATTAAGAAACAATCCATAAGACTGAAGTTGACTTCGTTTTTTTCTGTTTAAAATAGAAAATTCACAGGCCATAGATGAATTCGAAAGAGAGAGATAGAAAGTGCGCAGATATTTAATTTCTCTCACATATGATCTCGGTGTTGATTATGGGTTTGATTTACTTAATCGACTTTAATCATCATGAGATCCAATGGATCCCTCTCCTCGCAAGCATCAATAGACTTATGAATTCTTTTTTAACGATTTATTCCTACTTTAAAAACAGCTTATACAATTAAATTTTGATGAAATTTAAAAACAATTTTGACAACACTATCTACGACCATATAATTTAGAGACATAATAAATTGATAAAAATTAAAGGATAGAGAGACTCTCTCTCTTTCTCTCTGAGGGATAGAGAGAGAAAAAACGAACATCGAAATATTTGGAATGCAATAAACAAACGTGTAAGTGAAAAAACAAACGTTTAAAATTTAATTCCATTGAAATGCATGACCCCAATAGCGTCCATTTGAATCGTTGTTATCTCTTAATATGAATTTTATAAATTCTCAATATCTAAACTAATTAACGACTTAATATGATCTAAAAATGATGAAGAAGTATATTTTTTGTTCTCATTTCATAATAATAATAATAATAATATTAAAAAACACCTTAGCTTGTACAGTAAATAGGGCAAAAATAGAAGTAAGGATTTTTTTTCATTCGAATCAATACATTCAATGCGAATGAAGACGGAATATGTATTCATCGTCAACATCGGTCTATGGACTCATGTTTTTTTTCTCATTCATCTACTATTCGTTGGTATAGAAAATAAAAATCGGCTACATTTATAGTACATTTTATATTGTAGTTTGTTTCTCATATTTGTGACATTTTACTTAATTGAAATGCTTACATAAAATCTAATCAAAAATCGACTAACTTCATTGGCAACGGTCATATGCTGTCACACATAATTCAAATATACTGAATTATCAAAACGATTTTATAGTTTAACGGTGCTACACACATTGCCATTCCCGTTAGCTATTTGAGCTATAAACCGCAATTTTTTTGAATATATATTCCTCAAGCATTTGACTATTTGTCTTTGTATTCAAATGCCTTTTATAGTTAATCATCATCAATTTATATAAATTGTCATGTTTAGGCATAATATCAATTTGTCTATACTCGTTTGATACGAGAGAATACTTTATCTAAAAAATCATCTGTATTTGTGTAAAAAAAAAGAAATTCTATATAATAATAATATTAAAAGACATAATTTCAATACTAAATCTAACCTAAATCCATCTAGTTACTAATAAGAAACACGCAAATCAAATTATAAAAAATAAGAGTTATGTGTATGTATATATGATAGAGTCGCAGTTTCCCATTATCGAGTGTTTTTCTAGTTATGCTTCCAGATAGAAAATCGGATATTGTGTGTATATGAGCGATGAATTGTGCGGTGGCAGCAGACCGTTTCACTCAGTTTCTCGATGTCGATCATTGGATTAGTGACACAGAGATTATGTAGAATGTACAATTGAATAGTCAGATCTGTTGACAGCTTAACACGAGAAAATGATGTGGCAAGAATATTTATATATTAAGCATATGTAACAGTGGCTCCCATTCGGCGATTGGATCCAAACGTGCGAGAGTTGTCGTTTATTTTGAAACTGAATGATCGGGTAGTTCAGTAAGTGTGATATCGAATAGATCTTCTTCCAATTGTCGAACCTCTAATAAAAAGATGTCCTCATTGCAATAGTACGACAGCATATCGTCATCAATTTTCGCAGTAATCCTATTGAGAGAGAAAAAAACACAAAGAGAAGAAAAAAGAGAGAAGAAAACATGCATAAGTAAAAAACAATTATTTTTATAACATCAAATTATAACAATGTGAACGATAAAAAGAGAAAAGATTACAATAAAAAAAAAAATCAAAGATTTGTTTGACACTCATTTGCCCATTGCAAAATACGATAACAATAAAAAAACCACAACAACAACATTGGATAGAGAAAAGTGCGCGGCCAGTATCGTCACTATCATCATAACATACTTCCATTCAAATTAAATTCCGTTTATGGTCGAACATGTGCAGCACAAGTGATAAAAATGTCTATTATCGAATAAAATTTATTCGATTAAAGTGAGAAGTCTCTCAATAGAATTTCGAAATATAAAATAAAAGGGAATATAACAGAGGGAGAGAAAGAGAGAAGGAACTATGAATGAATACACATAAACTAACCACAAAGTTGCAATCAAATTCAGTCGATTGTGCATTCAAATACAAGAACAACAACAAAAGTTATCATTTTACAATCAAAATTCTAATTTTATCATGAGTCAACATGAACACCGTTGCGCGCGTCGCTTCTGATTTGTGTAGTTGCACATGGCGGGAAAGGTGACTGCATTCAATAGTAATGACTTTGTGGTGCGCAGTTGTTTATGACCACTAATAATAACAGTAAACTAGTTGATCGGCTACTATTAGCATACATTATCATTTTAATTGAAATTTTATTGATAACAACATCCAACACACATATCAGTTGGTATTGGTACGTTCGAATCGAAAGATAGACGCAGCGAGATAGAAATGTGAGTGTGTGAGTGAGAGAGAGAGTGAGCTAGAAAATGAGCGCAGCGTCGGCAACAGCTCATCGAATTAATATAGAAAATTATCACAATTGCAATCGATGATGTGTGTTGGATACAATTGCATTACACAAACGCCCGGATGAATTTGCAACGAATCAAATGGAGAACGTGTCGCATTCGTGGTATTGCTACCACATCATCGTTTATGCAAATTGTGACACCAAGTCAACTTTAAAACAATAACGCATATTGATCGGATTTATCTCTTTTTTTTCTCTTCATCTCACGTGCGTCAATTAGCATTCCATATTCAATAAACGAGAGCCGAGTTCACATTGCAATTTAAATCGTCTTCAAAGCGATTTATTCACATGAAAGCATCCTGTACCGTACAACTGTGCCAAACAAAAATCACATTGAACGATATTCACTCGAAAGTCATATTTGAATCATTTGCATTGCAAACGGACCATTTACGAACGCATTACACCACTAACACAGGTTATAAACAGTCCATTCTCTTCATATTCATATTGATAACGGTTACTGAGAAGTGTTATGGTTAGGCGTGAATTATGATTAGTGAAAAAAAAAATTGTTCAAAAAGTATGTATATATTTATATTTATGATTGAATGTGCATGTGAATGAATTTTATGTATGTCAACATAACAAATACGTTAAAAAACGATCATTATTGTTATCATCACAAATTGGATGGCGAGAGTGATTGAGATAGAGTTAAACATAGATTTAGATAAAGAAAGGGGATAGATGAAGAAAATCGAAAATAAACCATTGTTTTATTGTGGCATTTTGTTTCGATTCCTTGCTAATTTGTTAGTAATTGTTCATTATTATTTTTTGTGTGTTTGGAGTTTGTCTGACTTACCCTTTTCTATTTGTACGGTAAATGTTATTAATACTCGATGTCGATATTTTGTATTTATTTTCGATCTGCAATTAAGATAAACAGAATGAAACAAAACCATGAGCTAAAACCTTATTAGAAAATCCATCAACATGTTGATTTCATTTTATTTTGTGTTTAAATTTTCATTTTCTCTATATTTCTGTATTTCGAACGGAAACAAATTCAGAGGCATTTTCAAAGGAAATTTGCCAAAAAAGCAGATACGCATTATTCTCTCTAGTTTGAGATTTGTACATTGATTTTGTCATTGAATTGAAATTTGAAGTTTTGGAAATTATTTTCGATTTTTGCTTTTGTGATTGTGACAAGGGGGGCATTCATATTTCACATCTCATAACATGATTTGGAATGTTGAAAAAGAAATTAATTTTTGCGAAAAATTTGCAACATATTAACTGACGCAATCGTTTTTGTTTCATCATTAACATTTTTGCACATTAGATTTTCAGACGGTTTGAAGGAAAATTGAGATATTCCGTTTCTCTCGAAATTAATATATATCTTTCTCACATTGGAATGACAAAATATCAAAAATATGTATTCTAGTTGACAATGTCATTACATTTTCTTTTTGTCTATTTTGATTGCCATCATATGCCATTTTTGTCTCATAACATTCGTCGACGACGATGACAATTCTGTTTCCAGCCTTATTATTGCCATGAAGGATTTAAAACGCTCAAACGGAGAGGAAAGATCGGCAGCAGTATTATAATGTGTGTATGTGTGTGTTTTTTTAGTAGACAAATTAAAATTATTAAAATGGAATTAATTGAATGAACATTGAACAATATTGAAGCGGTTTTACAAAAATCATAGTTAATATCGAGCGTATTGATTAAAAGTCTCTATCTTTTTTGTTTTATATTGCTTAGTTTGAAATTCATTAGAAACGTTTTGACGAATGGAAATTACAAATAACAACAAAAACAAAAATAGTAAAAACAAGAGAATAACAATTAAGTGTGATGTGTATGTTAATGAGAATAAAGTTATTAATTACACCCATGCAACAACAACAATAAACAACATATCAACCAAAACAATGTTCAGCAATATAATAACGATTGTGCATTTTGTGTTTGTGTGTATGTCATGTGCTTTGTATTTACTTCTTTTTTCTTTTAAATAATATATATAAATGCGTGTGTGCGTGTATATATATATAACTGGCCGAATTTAAAAAGCCAAACGATTCCTCCCCTAATTGCTGTTTAAGTGAACTAAATTTGTTTACTTTTGCGTTACTAAACAATGTTCGGTTGCTTTGGCGATTTTTGTCTTTTGCACATATTTATGAGTTTCGAATTACGGTTGGATTTTTGTTTCTTTTTCACTTCGACAATAATGGAATAATATCATACCCGAATGCTTTGCTCAAAACTTTTCACAAATGTTTAGTTTCTGAAAAGTTCTGAATTTATCTCCGAATATGCTATTTCGTTTGAAAAATGGCCTTTTCTTGTTTGTTTCACGATTCAAAAACAGTGCTATTATTATAATTTTTTTTTCGTTCGAGAAAATTTATTATGTTCTTTTTCTCTCAATAATTTTAAAATTAAATCAATTTTGGTGATTCTAAATTGTTCTTTTTTTTTCTTTTTTGTAGTCTGTTCTGTTTTACTTGATTACACCTGTTTGTATGTGTTTTTTTTTTGTAAATATTTTTTTGTTTTTGCGCATTAGAAATTAGTTACAGTGATGTGTGTTTTGGTTTGATGATTTTATGGTAATTTTTTATTTGTTATGTATATAAATAAATCAATTTGATTTTAGCTTGTACAAAAAACAGTCAGTGTAGCCGCGCACATATATCGAAGCGCAGACGGACTGAGAGATGCACAACAAAAACAAAACAAAATACGAATGATAATTCTTGATTTACTTAAATTAGACTGATTTAATTTGAAATTATTGAGTTGAAAATGTCAATTTACTTGATGTGATTTTTATGATAATTTATTTGATTTAACAAATGGAAATTTACTTACCGCATTCAAGAGTCCAATTGTTGTTGGCGGTACGACATGCAATGGTGTGTACACATCTTCATTATCTTGTCGTACATATAGCATAACACGTTCATTCAATGGCGGTGTCATTCGTTGTCTTTTGATTACTGGCTGGCCAAATTCATTAACACTTTGAACCATTGATTGATCAAGAATGTGATCCTTTTTCTCCGTACTGTAAATAAGAATTTTCGTTTTAATTAGTAACATAAAACTGAAAAAAATACTCGAAATCGATTGAAATTGTTATCAAGAAAAGATATGAAATGGTTTTGTATGACATTGTTGTGCGCAGATTCGATTTTTACTCACGTCGGCACATCCGGTGGGAAGTGATTGTGGAATTTAAGTGTTGGCGTCGTCGGTTTTTGTGATGCATGCAGTAAGAATGGTGATGTTCCTTTCACATCGCTGCCATTCATTTCACCTTCGTGCGCATAAAAACTTTGCAAATCCATGCCGGACAATTTTTCAATATCTTCGGATGGTGTGAACAATACAGGTGGCTTGGCCAAATCTTGCATCGCATAAAATTCGGATCGATCGGTGACAGGATGATACAATTCGTCCAGCTTCTTACGACCGGTTGCGGTCATTTTGCGTTTAGATGCACGTCGTTCTTCGTCACGTGTTTTACGTTCGGCACCCTGGAAACAGCAACAACAACAAAAAATAACGTAAATTTATAAAATATTGCACAGAATATGGTTAAAAACTGGAAAAATAATATGATTTCGATTTAAAGTATGACATACACACAGAGAACAAAAAAAAGTGTCGACAATATAATATCGATTGAATGAGAAAGCGATTCACAGCGACACATTGAATTTAAATGGTGTTGAAAGAAATACGTGTTATATTCAATGCATGTAAAAGTCATTAAACAATATGCCAACTTAATTAGTAAAAAAAAAAGAATTCAAATCCATTTTCAACGCGCCCAATGGAATGGAATATTGCAAGCTGTTGATGATCTATAAATGGTCGTAATTGGTGTTCGTCCATTTTGATTTTAATGTGTATTAACGGCGGATAAAATAAATAATTGTCTTGTAATGCATTTTAAGTTTCCCCGCATATCGATACTGTAACAGAACATTGCATTTGTGATGTGCTCAATACCGTTATGTCGAGAGCACTATGCGATCCGATTCATGTTCGTTTAAGCATTTCAATCACACACACACATATACAAATAATTCGTGGTGCATCGATGTCAAGTCATCCGATTACATACCAAATGAAATTAAGTTGGCCACATGTTTATATTGAATTTCGAGTCTCAAACGACCTCGAAATTGAAACAAATCACAAATTCTTCTCTGCTGCAACAAAATTCTTTTAAGTGTGCTACAATAATAACACGACCATCGTTTCGTCTTTCGCAAATGTGCAATACTTTGCATCGCATAAATTTATTTATATGTTTCGACAATGTTTTATTTGAAGAAACAAATACGGATCATTCCATTGCAATCGCAGACGGTGCAATAATACAGCAAATTTCTTATCTCAGCAAACATAAAAACGTGGAAAGAGCTAGAGAGGGAATGCCTCGACACCCACTCGAACTTCTTTTACATTATGAAGCGATAAAGATGTGAAAATCATTGCCTTAGACAACTCTCTTTCAATAGCGTGCTCGTTTGCATCAGACAGACTGCTGTTTGGCTTTACAAATTAAATCGTAAAAACATCAAACATGCAGAATAAATGAAGCAATTCAAGACATGCATATAACGGACGCGTTTAATATTCGAAACATTTTGTTTTTTTCTTTTCATTCGAAACGAACTTTATAGAAAACCTGCGAAAGCTTTGAATTCACTGCATCATCGTCGTCTCACAGAGAGTGTTGTTTGAATCAATCGATGTGTACGAATTTTTGTCGCAAAATTTTCCCAGTCGCCGTTCTGGGCGCAATTAGCAAAGTGTTCGATATCACATTAGTTTCAGACAAATGGACAGGGCTTACTAGGTGGTACAATTTGTTTGTTTTTGGTCACAACACGATTTTTGTGTGGTACATCGATTTATCAAGCATTTGATTACAAAGTTGTCTCTCGCGCTCGCTCTCTCTCTCTCACACATTTTCGTATTTTTCATTTTCTCACTTGTCTGTTGTCCAAATGCCTAAATCGACCTGTTTTCTCATGTCATTGCTTTTGGCAAGTGATCATTCACTGTTATCGCGTGTGTGTTTCGATTTGGGAACGCTCCAATTTATTTGGCCGTCATTTGATTCGAGTCATGACTTTTCCTCCTTGATTTCATGTCGGCCATTTTTTTTTCTCACATTCTTGTAAGCGTGTGTTCAGATCCAAGTACTCATAAAAGAAATGAACAAATTAAAAAAAATACACACTTAAAGCGACAAAGATAAAAAAAAACATATCGTAAAACTATCATGTGTCGGCTTAAGTAGTACGATTTTATTTCGTGAAAAAAAAAATCAGCGTTCAATTCATGCACACATTTATATTTATTTCACATTTCTCAGTTCAGCGTATATTTCAAGCTTGTGCTCGAATTGGTGTTTGTGTACATATTTTATAGCATTATTCAAGGTAAATACTGTCAATTTTGTCGTTCAAATTCTGTGCTGCTGTTGTTGTTTTTTGTATTATTACACATTATATTGTTATTAGCTTCTGCTAAACAAGTTGCCGTTGCTTTTTTTTTCGCTTTATAAACATACACATTTGGAGCGGCGCAAAGTGTCTTAAGCCATATTTTTATATTTGATAAAGACAAACAAAAACGGACAACGTACACATATTGGGTTATATTCTTAAAAATTCCGTCCTTTTTTCACTAACGATTAGCCGAGCATTTTGCATTTCAAAAGCATTGAAAAACGATTGATCGTAACACTTAACCCAATGGTCCATATTTGAATGAATTTAATCGTTTTGATGAGACAAAAAAAAACATATCAACACATCTCTGTGTCTGTGTCACACAATTTAAATGAGTGCCAAAAATATTGACGGAATTTTTCATTCGCTCAATTATGTGGAAAATTTTCCACGCATAGTTTGTATATTGAAACAATTGCGAGTTTTTATATTCGAAGCAGTTTCCGTATTGACAACAGCATATTTCTATATCAAAAATCTCCATGATATTTGTCATCGCATCTCGTTTGTTTACTCATATTTGCTTAAAAGCGAATTCGGCAATCGAATCGATTCGCATTGACTCATACCTTATCGTAATGGACAAGCATTAATTTACATAAATTTTCGATAGAAAACGAAAATGAATTTCGATTTAACGAAATAAATTAAACGGTTTTAATTTGTTTTTGTGTGGTTTTTTTTCGTCTTCCATTGGATTCATGTGTATTGGAGATTTATGTTTTTTATTCGCTTCAACAATGGATAAAAGGATTTTGATTTTTGGTGAAAAAAATGAAGAATGTGTTGAGTGTCTCTCTCTGTGTGTGAGAGTGTTTTTTTCGTCGTTGGATCGTTTGAAGGTCACATTGACACATATATTTTTTTTGTTCATTCTTTGGTGTCATGTCATTTAGGCGATTCTTTTTATTCTATTGCCATTTTATTGCTTCGATTTTCGGCAATGTTTTTTTTCACCGTATTTCGTTGTATTTATTTTATTATTCTGTTGTTATTGTCATCTCTTGACCATAAATAATAAACATATAATTTCCTTATAATTTTGCGCATAAAAATATCACTATAATCCGTGTATTGGATAAATCCACGTAGTTTTAATTTGAATTTGTAGTTTGATCTTTAGAATCGAAACGCCAAAAGAACAACAAGCGCCGCAATTTACTTGTCCAAAATGAAAAAAAGATGTAGAAATGAATAACAAGACTTACCTTATCACAAAATACTTTGATTTGACAGTAGCCCCGATGGAAGATTTGTGCATCTCTGTGGTCTTCAAATGTGTCGATTTGAATGTGCAATGGTAAACCCTGTAAAAAATAAATAAATAAATGAATTAACTCCAAGCAACAATTACAAACCATTTATGCGAAGAAAATTGATTTTTGCCATTTTGCTAAAACAAGATAATCACTTATTGGAAAATTCAATTCACTTAGGAATATCTTAAATAATAGATAAATGGTTTCAGCAGAAAATTCTTGGCAATTGGTAAAATTGTGATTGTATTGCCCATACCAAACGGAATGTACAATTGTACAATGACAATATAACAAAATAAACAAAACGCGTAGGTTTAATACAATTTGCGACAAGAGAAAATCGATGTAGAAAAGAAAAACAACAAAAGTGGAATGAGTGATAGTTAAGAAAGGAAGGTGCAGAAATCACGAAAAAACGAGCAAAAAAGCAGCAGACGACACTTAATCGCAACTAGATCATTTACGTGGCAAACGGCATCAATGATTGCTTTTGTCCTCACGCACTTTCCGTTCGGTCAGACACTTAACGCGCATAGACTTTCCATTGCTTTATATTTGTTTCAAGAAAGAGCATTGAGATTTTGTATTTGTTATGTCTCGCCAATCGAACAAATATCGTGTGCGTATCTTTCTGTACATATTTTTTTCCTTCTTCGCTCGCGTTTTTCTCAACTCAAAAGTGGTTGACTTTAAAATATTAAGTGTGCAAATATTAATCACTCGCTTTATGAAATCGTGAAGCAAATGGGGAGGGGAAGTGCGTATGTTAACGAAATGGTCATCAGCATATATATATCCGACAGATATATGAGGAGGATGCGTGTTTATTTCATCATGTACATCAATCGTTGATTGTAATGTGTAGCAATGTAATAAAATGTATATGTACACACACACACAGCATCCAAAACACCTGTCTAATATTCACTTCGTGGTTTCGGTTCAATGTTCATTCATGGATAATCTTTTGGTGCGACAGGTAACTCGGCGTTTCTGATTCAAACGAAACATTAAACTACGACACACCGACAATATCAATCGACAAATATCCACAGCGATATAACTTTTAATCGCATTGGCCGAGCGAACGATAAGTAGAGAAAAACATATTTATTCAGAAGAAGACGAAACGAAAAAAATAAAAATAAAAAAATAAAAAGATCAATCGCACATGAAATAAAAATCAAAATAATTCGATGAGACGATGTTGTTGCGTACACTGCCTCTTTTTTATGTGAATGGATTTCGATATTGTGTATTCATATCAAATGGCTCTTTGGATCTGAGTCTGATTTATTAGGCATTTATATGCATCGTTTACAAATAATGTGTGTGTGTGTGTATACGTTTAAGAGGTGCGCACTGGAGAGGGAGCCTTTGCCTTTGATCGTTTGTTGCGGTGTGTTCGGGTACATGAGAGATCTCAAAACGTTTTAACATTTTCTACTTTGATCCAACACTTTTTTTTATACATTCCATTTTGAGATAGACGATTTTACACCTCATTGTGTGTTGCTTTGATTTCTTTTTGGGCAACATACGTTGTTGTTTTTCTTCTCGAAACATTTTCTCGCTGCCTCATTATTTGTGTGTATGATTGCTCGAATTATTTATTTATGATTTGATTTTATGCGCTCTTTTCAATGCTATTCAAAGCGTATGCTTTAAGCTTTAGTTCTTCCATTTTTGTTTTTCAATTTTCGTATAAGCTTGAACTAAATGACGAGAAAAAAAACATTTTTATTTTGTTGTCGTTCTTACTGTTGCATTTGAATAAATTGGCCTGTTCAAGCTTTGAATCGGTCAACGAATTGATTCTGTATGGTTGTTGTTGTTGTTTTTCATCTTCTATCGGATCTCTATCGCATGGATCTAACATTTAAATCTACTCAAATTTCATGAGATCAAACATAACAAATGGATTTAATTAATTGCCGTCGTGTTAAAGGGGAATTCCAGACATTGCTTAAAGTCAGGTACATTGGAAATTATTGCTCATTTTATTGGTTTTTGGTGGAACAGAATGAAAATAACTTTCGAACCAGGTGACTTTCAAGCTCGTTCATATTCTACGACTGTCTAGATGGAGAAGAAAAAAAAGGCCTGTGAACTACTTTTTTTGTGTATGTAAGTGTATTCGATCACAGGGTAGTTGAGCATGATTTTTCGTGTTCGTATTAAATCAATTGCGTTCAAAGTGGTAAGACACACTTTTACCATTCAATTTACAACCAAAAATGGCTCACAAAATCACTATTCACCGCCAAAATACAAAGGAGAGTGACAGTCACAAACAGTTTTCTCGGCGTTCTTTTCACATCGCATGACACACGAAACGAAAAAAAAAGAAACACCAATCCTGTAGCAGTCGAAAAAAATACGTCTCGGCCCAGCGAGTGAGGAAAGATAAAGTGAAACAATCAAAAACCATTTCAATGAAAGAAGAAAAAAAAAAAGAAAAAGGAGGCGAAAGGCTTATCGAGCGATCAATGTCTCATTGCGCCCAAGATCTTTAATGCCCACAATTCTTTTATATATCTGTGTTTGTTTGTTGATTTCATTTTGGGATTAATTGAATGGACAAAGCGGTATTGAAATAACTTATGGAATGAACAACATTCGATTTTCCATTTGTCTTTGCGTCTTTTCCCACATTTATCGATTTTTTTTTTCGTTGGTTCGCCTCTTCTGTGGCCGTTTTGCGTAACCGATTTCTGCACTGACTGCTGACCACCGTTTCTCTTCACCTCATTTTTTTCTTCTTTACTTCTTTCATATACATATTTAGCATAGGGTACATATGAGCGTACCATTGTCAGTGTGTTTCGGGCAATCGGTGTAATTAAAAATGGTGTACTCACTATGAAATAAATTTTTAGAATGCAATTCATCTGAATTATATATGCGAAAAAAAAATTGGAAACGTTTTGTAACATGGTTTCCGACTGATTAATAAGCTACGATGTACGAGCTGCACACTTCATTACCAAAATAAAAATACATAACACCGATAAACGGTAAGCAAAACAAAAAATGCGCGCGCACACATCGAATCAAAACGACATGAAATAAAAAAAACTGTCGCAAAAAAAGAATTAATGAGAAACGAAATTAGCTGGCGCAGGGGAAAAAATGGTGAAGAGAAAAATAAAACGAAGAGAGCGAGAAGAAACATGTGAAACAGTGAGAGTGTAAAAAAGCTGAAAAAGAGCTGATAGTGTTATTGAAAGGCTTCGTCAATACAGTTGACAATAAATGTGCCGCGCAATGATACTTATGCCACTTGTCGCGGATACGATTAAATTAGCATATAAAAATTAATGGGGCGTACATAGTTGCTATGCATTAAAAAAAAAAACGTAAACAGCGGTCGTATTTTGTGCGAACACAATTTTATTTGGTTTTTGTTTTGTGGCCACTCTTCATCGCTTATTGTTGTAATAAAACTTATTTTTGTGCACAGTGTTGTTGTATGCTTTGTTTTTCGTCTTTTAATATGCTCACACTCGCACGGAAAATCAACTTTTTTTTTGTTGTAAATGATAAGACAATCGAACGATAAGAAGTAAAACTGACGGTGGTAATGAAGCTAGTTGCATTTACGGTTTGAAAGTAATACAGTAGTAAAAGGTGTGCAAGGTAAAGGTTCCGAAACAATCAAAACAAAAGCACTTAGACTTTGAAAAGTCCAAGCGTCGAGAAACGATGAATTTTTTTACAAAGTGTACCATTTTTACACTAAAGATTTGTCGGTTACCGTTTTGTATATCATACTGATCAACAAACAAGATAATCAATGTTTTCTTGTGGTGTGATTGCCTTTTTGCTAAAGGATAAAGAATAAAGCAAATATACCGATTTCACAGTATCTTCGAAATTTAATCGTTTAGTTTTCAAAATTCAAATCAATTAATAGATCATAAATAATACCATTTTATTCGTCTAATTAAGATCCTTCCTCTTCGGTTCATTCATGATTATAATGAAGGGGGAGAAAAAGACAAAAAGTCAATTCAATCGGCTAATTTAATTAATTCTATTCGAAAGCCAAATTGTGTTGGTAAATATTATGATGCTGATAAAAAGCCAAGAATTAAAAGTGAAATCATCTAAATTATTAAAATTTGCTCTTAAGAAATGTCCATTATATTGGGAACATGATTGAGATTCCAAAATGCACTTTCCGCAATTAACTAATAAGATTGACAATGTATGGAAAGAACATTGTTGTTGGCAATTCGATTTGGCAAGAAAAATGGTGATTTCAATTTGCGTGCAACTGCGACAAACGTTCAAACGAATACAGCAGCCACATAAAATCCAAAAAAATATCGTTCACCATGCCATCGAACATCCGATTGAAATGCAACGATCCGGACAACAAAATTGAAAAAAAAAAACACTCACCTTTACGCCTTTCTGACTGCTAAAGTCTGTGCTCAAACATTGTACGGCTATGTTTATCTAAAAATGAAATCAAAAATAAAAAAAAAACATATTGAAAGAAACAAAAACAAAACAAAATGATGAAAATGAATAAAAAACATAAATTATACAAATAAATTTCAAAATAAAGAATGAAGTAAAGAACAAAAAGAAAATCAGTTGAACAAGAAATTGGTTGGGAAAGAAAATTGCATTGCAAAACAAAAATCGAAAATTTCGTAAAGTAATACACAAATGTTTGAGGGGAGTAAGAAACAAAGTAAGCAAAAAAAAGAGTCGATGGTGTACTCCATTCAAAATCAAATGATAAAGAATTAATTAAATAAAACAAATGGAAAAATTGTCACAATAACCGATAAATTAAGGATAATTGTCAAATAAATTCGTTTCAATAATAATTATAGTCAAGTGAACATATCAACAAATAATCGGTTCAATTGAATTGAATCTGAGCTAAAACAAAGCTAACATGTGTTGGTTGATTCGTTCATATCAGGTCTCTTGCTGATCATCTAAGTGCACCGTAAATTGTTGAATATAATCGATGATGATGGTCCATGCACGGTCGACAAAATGTTATATGAACTATTAAGCAATGTGCTGTTCGGTTGTTCGTTATGTGTGCCGGATGCATCAAAGTTAATCAAAGAACGGGCACAAAGCGAAAGAAAAAAAAACCTAGAAGAGAATAGAATCGAACCGCACAAAACGGCGAGAGACAGAGACACTGATAGACATTGAGCTTCGAACCATTTCTCGTATAAATAATAACGAAGTGTCAGTGTGGCGTTGTCAGAGAAAACTCGCACGTACGTACAGAACAACAAACAGAGTCCAGTGCATTTCATGCGGTCTATTATCCTATGATTATTATTCCATTTTTTTCTCTTTCTTGCTTAAATTGTTCGTTCTACCGTGTTTTCTGTATGTATTTTACCATGTTCCACGGGTGAGATGTGCCATGAGGATTGTTTATTATAATTAATTGAAATGTGTTGTATTTTCATCTCGGTATGATTTTGTTCTTATGGTTTGCATTGTAAGGGATCAAAAGAGAGAAGAATGAGAAATTAAGAAGAAGGAGACAAAAAAAATGGCAAAAACACACAACACTCAATCTCAACAATATTGCAACATTGTAAGCTGAATCGCTGAAGCCACTAAAACACATTACAAATTAACGCGTCACAAGTTGTTTGGAATTGCTTTGCTCATTTTGCCGCGTGCATGCATCTTATTCGCATGATATGCAAATGATATGTACTTTTACACTTGTTGCATCGGCTTTTCTTAATTACACACATCGAATACATATAAATCGATCGTTGGACACACAAACATAGACACATTCTCATACGCATCAATATACACGATATATATATTCACTATGAAATTGACTGGATGTTTCAATATCTTGCTGCACTGTTCTATACACTCAATTCAAACACATAATTTCAACATCAATCCCGCAATAAATATTAATTTTAATTCATAACTTTAGATTGAGTCTCTCAGTGTGTATGTGTGTTATTTTTTTTTATCAGCATCTGTTCTGTTCGTCATTCTTCGATTAGATGTGTGCACAATGAGTGAAAAAAAATATGATACGTAGTTTGATACTTGGACATTAAATATCGATAGAAATAGCAACGGCACAAAACTAACGTTGACACTTTATATACGATGTTGTCACCTTATCCGTTGTGCATTTCGTATTGCATACCAATTTATGATGCAATATAGTGTATATGCAAAAATCACACCGAGCGCAACAAGAAGACAGAGAGAACTGAAGAGAAAAAAAGGTGTTTGTCATTTGTTGTTGTTTCATGTTTTTCACAATTATCGCAATTTTCGACACAATTTTAATAAGAGTCGATGTCGCAACATACATTGACGGAGAGACTCAGTCGTAGGCCCCACAACAACAGAACGATTTTTTTTTTTAAATAACATAGTTATTATTTAGTGTGAACTGTTTGTCGATACTCGATTTTATTTATTGGAATCGCAAAAGAAAATTCATTGAGGAAATGCTTTTTATGAGTCTTATTCAAATCGAAACAATATGAAAGACACTGCTGATGTCAATTATTTCATTCCCATTGCATCCATGAAATAGCTAGAACATTTTTTCTTGCTAATAAAATCGAAATGATGGATTCAACGCCCATATCAACTAAACTAATGTCATTTTTTGCTTTGAATAATTTTTCTATTGCTTTCTTCACATTTCGAATATGATGAATTAAGTGATCTGAATAAATTGAAATGCTAAATAAATGAATTGAACAAAAAAAAGAAGAACGGAGATTTAATAGATTCAAAACATTATAAACACTGGTGTCAATATGTTTTTCGCGATTCTTTAATACCTTTTGCAATTAATGCAAAAAGGCTGCGAATCAGCAGTTACATGTAAAAAAGCAAAGCAAACGATAGAGACAGAGAAAGGCAGCGAGAGAAAAAAAAACTCAGAAAGATGTAAAACAAAACGACATAAAACGAAAAAAAAACACACATCTAAAGCAGCCTATTGAAAGACATAAAATGCGAGAATAGAGCAGACAATGTATATTATACATATTAAAATGATTAACGGTATCTGAAAGCACAACATAAATCTTTCTAATTATAAATTGCCATATTCTAGATGTTTTAATTGCTTTTTTTCAATGAAATGCAGATAAAAAAAAATTTTTTATACATTACACATCGATTTATACTTTATATAAATATGTGTGACTCCATTTTGTGCTTTGCTAACTTTTTCTATCGTTCACCATAAACGCCAATAACAGCATGTGTTTGTATGAACATTATTTTAGTAGCTCTAATCTATTGTAAAATGTAGTGAAGCAGAATATTAAAGAAGAAGGAAACGTGTGCGTCGACATTGAGAAAGAGAGTCATTTTATTTTGTGAGATTGGAAGCGTGTGTTAAAAGGGCCAACGCACATCAAATGAAATGATTCATTTCGATTTAATATTTTTCTATTTTCTTTCCGTTTCATCTAAAACTCGATGCGTCCATATATAAATGTTTTTTGCATATTTGGTTTGGCGCTTCTTCATCTTCCTTCCTTCTTTCGAATTGCATTTTCATTTGCAAGTAGCAAGCGGTTAATTTAAATGAAATGACAATAACATAGATCGAAAAATTCGCTCATATCGAAATGATGATAATTAAATATAATGTAACAATCGACAGATTTAGTACTTGGCAAATGGCGAAGAAATTTAAGCGGGGCGTGCGTAAATAGGCAGTTCATTCGTTTACACACGCAATTTATGTGTGTATGTGTGTTTGTTCGAAGATTATGAGCTTCTTTTGCCATTCAATTTTCAAAGCTATTGCCATTTTTACCATTCATTTTTGCTGTCTGCACTTAAAAAAATTTAATGTAGTGCAAAAAAAAAACATTTTTTTTTTGTAGGCAAAGCCACAGATTAAAACCACGCATATAATGACTACATGCTGTCTTTTCAATGTAATAAATTTATTGCCGAACGAAAGCACTTGGCGATTTATCTGTCGTATGGAGTATCTATCCATTCATTCTGATCGTCTATTTTTTTTTCCTCTTCTATACTCACACTAAAATCAGCTCCTTTTCACGCGGATGTTTGTTTATTTGTTTGCACGGCGACGTCGATGACGACGCGCATACAATCTGTACTCTCTTTCTTTTTAATGCGTGGAACGTGGAGCTTCTGCAAATTTAACAACTTAATCAATACGTACAATGTGCATTTTACCGTCATCCGGATATCACTTCGAGGTGAGTATGTGCATTCGCAATAGACATGAATGAATAGATAAATGAAAATTATGTATACATATATGAACACATTTTGTGTAGTCCGCAACTCCGAATGATTCACTACCATTAATCAAATTGTTAATTTTTGTCTTGTCCACATTTGACACTTCTGACAATCTAATTAAATATTACTATAAACTAACATTACACTACGTATACTATTTAGTTTGATTCACTCTGTGTATCGTTCAGTTTTTCGATTTTGAATTTTTCACCATTGAATCAAACGAATGATGACTTTAGTTTGCAATTTCTCTTGATGAATAATGTAAACGTATTTTCATTGTTTATTCTTACCTTGGCAGAACTTTCGAGTGGATTCCAGTAAACAGCGATTGCATTGTGTGATACTTCTTCGATGCATCCCACCAAACCGACAGAATTCTTTGTATCTACGAATGAAAAGCGAACGAAAAAAAAAAATTTACGAATAAAAAATATTGAAAACAAATGAGAGAATGAGAAAATAAGCATCATGTTAATAATTGCAAGGCAGTAATAAGAAACCCATTCAAATTGTTGTGTCGGCTTGAATTTGATTTTAATTTCCACCTGTATCCCCCCGTCAAAACTAATGCAATATGCACATATTTTTCATACTACATTGCTCGATGCAATTGTCATTTGCGGTGAACGTTTGCGGTTTATGTGTGTGTGTGTGCTCATGTACACAGGTTATTTTATGAATCTAATTGATTGGCGAATAAAAGCCAAATGACAAGCACGAGCCAATCGAATTTTTTTTCTAAATGGACACATTTTATCTATGGATTTTGAGTTTAAGACGACTAGAGAGAGAGCGAGAGAGAGAGAGAGAGAGAGAGAGAGAATAAACGGTAAAATACACCGAATTTGTTTTTCACAATTTAGATGAACAAATCTGCGGCGATTTGCGTTTCGATTTGATGCCGTGTATATTGAAATTCTCCGCTGTAGATCTACTAATTGCTGCATAATTCGTTGCAACCTTCATTATTATAAACAAATGACACTGGCCGAAGCGGGAAAGAAGCGTGCTGTTTACTTTGCGGCGCAGTAAAACTTGTGTCTTAACACATTCTCGAAGAAAAGATGCTTAATCCAGATAGCAATTGGCTTTATTCATCGTGTAACCCTTTCATTGAATGAAATTCGTACGAATACAGGAGGAGAAAACAAAAATGTGCGAAGATATACTCTAAAGTGCGTACCACTTACCGCATAGTCAACTGTGGCATTATTTGCTACGAGCATTCACAGCACGGACTTCGCTCATGAGAATTACACACATTCGATTCACAAGCAAAAAGCGACATTTACATTTGCTAAAAGAAAATTTGATCTTATCGCTTCAATAGCGATTGAAAAAAAAAATACACACATAGAAAACAAAAAGCCAATACAAACAGTAAAGAAACAGTATTATTATTAAAGACAAAATGAAACGAAACGCAAATCACATTTAATTGTAACTTATTGAGTGGATCTTTCATTATTGAAACGAATGCATTCATTGAGTGGAGCATATTCACATATATGCACATATGTATGGAGATAAAGCTTTTTCATGTTGCTCATGTGATTTTGCGTTGATTCGCTCTCTTTTCTCGTTGTTTTATTTTGTTGTTTTGCATTTTTTGCACATTCTAAATGGAGTCGCGCGCAATGAGAGCTATTTGCAACAATATTCATTCCACTTATTAAAATTAAAATATTTGTAATTATTATTTGTGTCGATTGTGTTTGTGTGTGTGTGTCTTTCGACAAAATTATCGTTAAACACATGTGTTCGTGTTTCTGATTTGTTAATTTTGTTTATCACGTCTGTATGTCTTTTTTGCCCTGTGATTGGAAAATTTTCCTCTCAATCTCTCGATACTGTTGAACATCCATGAACCGGGTGGATTGTTTGTTTTTTTTTTTCACTTGTGTGCTAAACTGTCAATTTTGTGTGTGAAAATGCCAAATTTAAATAAAACAGTCATAACAGTTCAAATGTGAAAATTATGCCAAATACAAAATGACTTGGAAGTGTCACGATTTTCATTTCATCTCAATGACAAGAGAGCAACCTGCGTCTGACCAAACGGTGACACACCATATTTCTTTTTTGTGAAACAAAAATTGCGCGAACGCGTTTAATAAACATTTACTTCCCTATTCCACCGCGACTATAAAGGTGTCAATGCACTGACATTAGACGAACTCTCATCATTGAATCTTTGTTTCTATCAAGTAATTGGTGAGCACAATGACCGCTCAAAAGGACGCACGTATAAACATTCACAAGCATCGCTCACGCTTATATATTGTGGCATTGCGCATCTAACGGCATCATTGAACTTCTGAATGTGGCGAACGTGCACTGTCATGAACTTTTGTGCGCGCATTTTCAAATTCGTTTTCGGATTTTTCGGTTTGAAAAAGCGCAAAAACACACACAAAATAAATAAATAAACAAATAAGTACGATAAAAGCGATTGCTTCGAGGAAACAGGTAAAATGATGTCGCATAATATGATTCGTTTGAATAAGATAGTCCGTTGACAATGAAACGATATCGTGAAGATAGACAAAGATGTAACGTATTTATACATTTATACCAAAACCATAAATAGAAGAGCCGATCGTTTCGAGGTCGAATTTAATAAATTGATTTGTGGTACTGTGGTCTTTGTTTTTTTTCTCTCTATCTCTCTTGCTTGTACATTCGAATACGCTCAAGCGCCCATCATCATGTAAAATCGTGCAATTTTCGATCGATTGGTAGCCAAATCGACTAAATGATATTCAAGTTGTGCGTTTACAATCACATAGCCTTGATAATGCACATTTACACAAATATAAAATTCGTCTTATCGATAAATTACAGTACAAGCAAATAAGGAACATTATTATTTTTTTTTCTTCTTCTGTTTCTGCGCTCGAAGCTCACAGTATTAAAAATTGGGCCCCATATTCGCATTATTTCATAATAAACGAACGACGAACGAAACCAAACCAAACCAAATCGACAAAACAAAAACATAATCATTCCGAACTGTAGTTCAAGTTTGTTACTTTCGAACGTGACGATTTCATTATCTGCTTCGAATCTCAATGCTCTTTTTTGGCAAGTCAATTACTTAAAGATTTTTTTTTTTGCTTCTTCTGGCTTGTGTGTGTGTGTGTGTGCGTGCGAGCGCAAGCGCGTCGGTTTTCGTTACCAGAATAAATGATTAGGCCATTCGAACTGTAGATCGAGCGAGCGCACACCGAATAGGAAATGTGCATTTAATGAATTGATTTAGTGGCATGATTCGTACAATGAGTACAGGCCACACAAAAAATGTATGTGAGCGCGAAGCAACCATAAAGAAAAAGATTGGACGAAAACTGCTTCTAAATTACAGATCAGATTTTATGCATCATCAACATGGAACGTTGTGTCATTTGAGCATTTGCGAGTATATTCATCCTTGGGAGCTATTTAAAGAAGAGATACGAACAAAAAACATTATATCGTATCATATAATTTCCAAAACTATTCGTAAAACGTGACGCAAATGAATGCAATGGAATCGAGCAATTATCACTAAATGCTCTCAGTTCATTTGTTAATTATCACACTCTTGAACTGAAATCGCTTGAAATGATCAGATCGATGGTGAAAACGAAGACGCCGCCGCCATTATCGACATTGTGCGCAACACATTCGAAGCGGTTGTTTGTCATAGAAAACTGCATAGTACAGCTAGACTATCATCGTTTTCGATTCCCGTTATCAAATTGGTCATTTTTATAATGGGCATTTTGCGTGCCTGCACCTGCAAGGCAATGGCCAATAAAATGGATTCAAATTGCGTATTTTGCTTTGATGTGGCAGCTGTATATGGCTATGGTGCCATTGCATTGGCCAATTTGAATTAAATAGAAGCGCCGTTTGAATCATAAAAAAATTTCACCATCACAAAAAAAATCACCAACTCCACACTGTATGTGCCTCTCTCTATCACGCGCGCACTCTTTTGCCATTTAATTGCAATCGTTGTTTAATTAAATTATATTGGTTGCAATTGGTAAAATCATTCTTCTTCTTGGCGATTTTCTTTCTTTATACCCCCTCCTTCTGTGCGCCTTCTCCGCGACAGATTTGTGTACATTATATTTTTCTCTTCAACTGAAAAGAACAAAAAAATGGAAAGATGCGCGCGATCTAATGTAATAAAGTCGCCATTTCAGTTTATGACCAATGTATGAATATCCAACTAATGCCAATCCATTGAAATGATGATTCTCTTCGACCGATGGGTTTTTCATTTTGTTCATAGATATTTGTTTTATTTTCATTTGACTTGCGGGCATTTTGTTGTTGGCTGGTTTTGTTTTTTTTTTGTCCACTTCTTATAGCCGGCTGTCTCTTTCTATTTAATATTTTATTATCCGAAATGTCATACTTTACCTGCATCTAATATTCTCTGTTTGACTGAATGTTGCCTGCTGTGCCAAAATTGCCATGCTTTGATTTCATCTTCGGGACTCTTCTCTTCGCGGAACATCAGCATAATAACACTCTGTAACGATAGAAAACAAAATACCAAACCACATGAATTGAAACTGATTTGTATTTAATGGAAAATTTACAAAAAAATAAAAATGGAAGGAAAAAAAACCACCACCATCACAACAACAGAAACTCATATATCGCTTAAGCGCATTTTGAGTGGACACTTAATTTATTTAAACATAAATTGTCAGATTAATTCGCAATGTGCGATAAAGCCGTTGTAATTATCTGATTGTAAAACATTAACAACAACAAAATTCCTACCATATTAGAGACAAAATGGGAGATGAGTGGTTTTTTTATGTAGCTATTTACGGTAAACTAGTTGGCAATTTTTGAATTGGAAGTCGATTGTTGAAATTTCGGATCAGAAAACCACAATGTATAATTAGATCAAAAAATTGCGGAACAGGAATATACATATATATGAGATAAAAATGTAAGCGATAAAAATAAATGTGTATGCAAGAGCCTTGGATTTGATTGTGGAATTCGGTCATAAATCGAATTGACGACAACAAAGACACAACACAGCAAGTGTTTAAGCCAAAACTATTTCAAATTTATGCAAAATATTGCAAATTCTAATTGATAATGGCGCCTTTTTAATTTTCATTTTGGATTAAACAATATCTTGCCGTACAACTGAGATACACATTTATGTATGTATGGCCACATTCACCGATCACGTTTTACCCCATCAAAACACATGCAATCGCTGCAGCAACAGCAGCAGCAGCAATCAACAATCATTAGCCGCATTATGATTTGTTAATCGTATTAGTTATTTGGATTTTTTTTTTCGTTCGTGTTAAGACATACCGTGCGGCTGCACGAGCAAATCGAAAGCATGTACTTCAATAATAATAAATTTGAAGTACATATTTGAATGTATCGCCAATAACAAGTGTCTTTGAAATGCCTTGCATGCATGCAACAAATCATTTTGCATGGAATAATTTTTTATGTATAGTTTTTTTTTCACTCTCTTCACCGTTGTTATGGTTATTATTATCATAATTATTATTATTATTATTGTTGTTGTCACTGTAATTTGTTTGTTGTTTCAATTCGTTTGCTTGCTTCAACCGCTAATTATTTTCTTTCGTTTGCTGCTGTTGTTATAGATAAATAAATATAGGGTGAATTGGGGAATGTTTTCTGGACCGGTGTGTGATGTGTCTGTGTGCGCGAATGTGCACACTGCACAGTAGGTGCAATTTGATCGATATGGCCATAGAATATTTTTTATTTGTGCGCCGACACCAGCAAGCGAGAAAAAGATAACGATGCACATTGAATTGCCTGGGCACTGAGTGAAAAATCATTTCAGTGGCTGTAATTAATATCGCATTTGAATGCGATAACCATTTAGCTGTAAAACTATTTAAACCGTATATGATGTTATTGTAAATTTACCGAATGCAAAGAACCAGAGAGAAAAAAATTGTCTTAATTTATGCACGTGCAACAAGCAAGCAGTCAGTAAGTATGAAAATCAAATCGAATCGCGCGGCTCAAGTGTGTGCGTAATGTCGACGACAAAAAAACAACAACAACAACGACAACGTTCGTTCATCCAGGCAAAGTGTGTAAGTGTTATGTATAAATTAAAGAAATTATAGTATGAATGAGAGAATAATCATTTGAGGTCGCAATATGTTGCGGGAAACAAATAATAATAATATGAAAAAATATATTGCAACGCATGATACATGGATAAATTTTAGAAAATTTGTCGCCAGCGATCGAATTTGATGTTCGTGCAAGTGTGTCAACATATACTTCTTGCTCTTTATCGATTGCCACGAGAAATGCACAACGCACAATTTGTGTGCAGCAGGATGTGATTGAATAAAGTACAGCAATTTAATGTTTTTCAATATGTTTGATTTTATAAAATAATCGAAAAAAATGTTGCCTTTTTATCTTTTTGACCAAACGAAATGAGTCTAAAAAAAGCCATTTTAAAATGAGTAGAGGCACTGATTTATGATGGTAATAAAAACGCGAATGTGATCGAGTGAGAGATAAAGAGGCCGATAGTGAGACAAACAGAAGGGAGAGAGGAGCACACATAGTGAGAGATAAAGAAAGAAAAAGAGACAATAAACTTGCGCATTAATTTAACGACTAAGATCTATTAAACTCAAATAGATTGATCACAGCCACACCTGATTAGAATGATTTGTTAGCCATACGCTGTGTGTTTGCACTTTGTTTTCACAATGATTTTTTTTCTCTCCCATTTTGCTACCCCGTGTGTGTGTGTGTATCGAAAAATTATTGCATTTTTTTCATACGAATATTTCGTGTGCGGTTTTCAAAGTGAATCCTTAATTATTTTGAGTTCGCCATACACTTGTCACATTTGTTTAAAATTGTATTCCGAAGGAATAAAAGTGGTTTGCCTCAAAACGTCATTTCATTTGAACGTGACTATCGCTAAGTCGACATTCTTGCCTCATGTAGCCCACAGGAAATAGAAATTCACTTAAAATCAAAATCGAAATGTGTTTGAAATATAAAAACCTGCACACTCTCGCACACACATGAATATCCAATCGGATTAAAAATGACACAAACATACGTTTGCCGTTTGTTGTGGAAGGAAAATATTCATGGGAACAATCGACAGAAACTGCACATTGGAATACGAACGTGGGCAGCAGCGTTGTCAATAAATGTGCAATACATCATATGCACCTTATATATGTGTGTGTGTCTATGTGTTATTCTTTATGTTCTCGTTGGGTATTTTTTTTTCTTTCTTTTACGTCTTTGGGCTGTCATCGATATTTATTCGGTTTGTATTATTTACAACTACTCAAACGCTCACACATGAGAGAGCCGTTAATGCAATATGCACGAAAATTGTCTGCTATTGTCATGTAAACAACAGATCTATCTTTCTATCGTCGAATCGATCTGGCTGGGCTTGAGCCAAATGCACCATTTCTATTGTTCACAGTAACACCGAATTTTCATGCGGTCATATCTCTCTCTTGCTTCCCTTCCCTTCTGCTGCTCTTAGTTCCGTGCCAACATTAAATTAATTGATAAAATACGCAAATGTGATCTATAAATGCAGTCACATTTTTCGGGCGTAACGAAGTCTGAAAATTGCCAACAGATTTATTGAACAATATACAAATTAAGGCGAATATTTTGGTGTAGCATTTAAAACACCTTATGCCAATTGCATTGGATCTGCATCTGAATGTACATATGCACAAGAATTTATTTTGTCAGCCCACGCAATTTCGACCAAATCGACTGAACGGAATTGAATAGACAAGCACACGCGCTCACCGCCACCGTAAAACGATGCGAAACAAACAATTTTGCTCTGAATGCACCGTATTTCAATTCATTTAACTTTTATTTGAAACGAAGAGAAAAAAAACCACCGTTTCGAAAATCAAAATTAAATAAATTTTAATAAATTGCATCGAAAGCTGAAAGCTGCCGTAAAGCGTCCAAAATTTGTACGTATGCATAAATTGTAAATTGAATAAATGGTAATGGAAGACAAGGAGTACAAAACAGAATATCGTATGCTTAACTTTGGTGCAGCTTTTGTAGAGTAGTGTATCGAAAATCGCATTATACGTATAATTTTTTTTTTTTCGATTCAAAACAATGCTATCAATTTTATAACACTGATTTGACTAACAGCCAAATAACTTGTGCTCGTACAGAGGCAGAGATAAAGCCGCAATACAAAAGCACATGCGATTTTTGCGTAAAACAATGCTAAATTCCCAAACTTCGTTTGGACATTCGCAACAATTCGGTGGCTTGACAACAACAGCAACGAAAAAAAAAAAAAAAAAAAAACAGAAAACAAAATATAATCGCATTTGCATGTGCACCATTTTTTCTTTTGTTTGTTTCTTTTATAGTATGAAATTGTATTGTATCAGCTTGGCCCGAACTCGAGCTTGTTTCCTGTTATATTTGGATTACTTGCGGTTAAATTTTTGCCTAGCTTTCAATTATTTATAATCTATCACAATTCCGCCGTGTGGCTATTGCTCAAATACGATTTAATGTATATATTTTTTTTTAAAAGCGCTATGTAGTATTTCTATCAGTTGCTATCAAAACGCCGACGTACGGTAAGTCAGTGGCTTTGGCATTTTGTGTGAGGCGTAAAAATCAAGTAAATACGATGTAAAAACAAAGCCCATTTTGAATGCTTATCACAACAATACGGACAAAATTATACAGTTCTTGTCCACGTATACACTCGATTTGTGTTTTTGTCGTCACTTTGTATGGTTTTCTCTCTCTGTCTGTTTCTCTTGAAGTCTCCGTATGTTTCCTTATCTTACGATGAATTTTATACTAACTTTGAGTACTTTTGTTAATTCTTTTTGGTTTGTTGTTGCAAGTGCTGCTGTTTTATGACAAACCGCAGCGATATTTATGTGTACGTATGGTAAATTTACCTATTTAATGTTCGGAAAATTAATTGAAATTTAGAAAATAGATAATTGCACGCTGTGTGGTAAATGCGTACTCTATCAACGGTTCCCATTTAGCAATGTATACACATAGACGATTTCAACTAATTAAAAGCCATTCGCTTCCAATCATTTTTCATTTCCATCTTCATATTTTTTTTTCTTCTTCTTATTTTTCGGATTCCGGTGTGTTCTGCGTTGGATTTTTGATCGTATTATAAGAATTGATTTGAATGACCGTCACAAGATCTAAATCTGACATTACGTAACATAACCATTGGTCTTAAATAATAATAATATTAATAATAAGTAAAATCAATCGAAGTGCTAACAGACACGATATTCGTGTTGTTATTCAGTATGAAGAAATCCATCTGGATTAAAAATGACGATTGTTTTTTTTTTGTTTTACATTTTTAGATTCAATGAATTTAATTGAATACATTTGAACCTGCTGTACCATTTGAATGTATTTTCCAATTTGAAGTGCGCAACATCGTTAGAACAAATGCTCGTCAAAACTGTTCACTTGTTTTTC